AAAAAAAACATTTAGGTGCTATGTTATTAGATCAACAAAATAGATGTATAAAGCAGATTTATGCTCAATCAGGAAAGTTACTCTAGAAAGTATAAGAAGAAAGTTAACTCGGGAACAAGACCGATTTATCGGTGACTACAAGCGAAGTTATCTCCGTGAGACAAATGTTTTACGGTTTTAACGAGAGGAGCCACAAATACAGCTATAATTCTGCTTTTATTCAAAAGAGGTAAACTCTTCCATGTTGCGCATCCTTGCAGCTTCTTTAGTGCCATAGGAACCACATTCCCACGCTTGTAAATGCACCTTTTCATGAGGGGAAAATACACAAAACGTGTTCAAACAGGCATATAAATTGCCAATACTCAAACTGGTAAACATCACTGCTTGTAAATGATCCTTCTGTTTTGAAAAAAAAAATGCTGTTCATACAGCAATATTAAATTGCCAATAAATCAACACTGGTGAACATCACAGGCACTGCCGCAGTCGAATAAGCGGCAAATCCTATGTCGAGAAATTAGCTGCAAAGACATGTTTGAGACTCTAGCAAGGAAACTTGCAGATATAACTTGGGGGGGAAATTTTAGGAGTTGAAAGAATTGAAATTAAAAAGAACCCATATGATGCTAGTAATATGAGTTTTCGGATATATAATTGAATCCTAGATGCTTAACCGAAACTGCTGAAAGCAACAAAAAACTGGCTAGGTTATAACAGAGAAAGTTAATTGCAATGCTACAGCCGATCTTCAGCATAAACTAAAAAGAACTCTTTGTTTTTCACCGGTAAAATAATCAGGCTATGCTGCATAAAGAGGAACTTCAAAAAATTAAGTTTCACAACCCACTTCGAAACCAAAAAAAGAAATGCAAAAAAGAAAAAATAAATTTAAAATAAAAAATTTCTAATTTTAAAAAAAACATCTACAGTCTTCCTTCAAACACTCATTTGCGTTCTTAAATAAATAGAAATTTTAATTTTTTAAAAAAAATCTACATTCTTCCTGTCAAAACATGCCTCATTGGTTCTTCCATCTCCAACTAACGAAAACAATAAAATCAGTTAGTCTATAAATATTTCAAAGACATACATTAGCAAAAGCAAAAAACTGTCTAGAATACATAACATTGCTTAAGTGACTCAGTTCTTTCATTCTCCGTTACAATACTTTTTGCGCCCGGATATAAGGAAATACATCATGAATCAGACTTGAATTGTATCAAACTCGGGAGGGTTGGGTGCGGGGGGGGATCACTTTCACGCCGCTATTTTCTATATTTGGAGAAGTACATTCATTGCTTTACTCGTTTGCCCTAATTTCACTTTCAGCATTCTCAAATTCAATTACATGAGCATATTCTCTTGCCTAGTGTTACTGAAGGTCCCAATTGTAGATGCAAGACAACAGATGCAAGAAATAAAATGGAGATCAATTGCAAGAAAGAGGGAAAAAGAAACGTAACTGAAGATATGATTATCTTTAAGTGTTATTTATATATATATAACTATAGATATATATATATATATAATATTATATATATAGAACAAATAGTATATAAGTTAAACACGAATATCTCTAGATGAATAACAACATATGTCCATGTTATGGCTATACTCTCAACAAACCTGATTAATGTATCTTGACAAATCGTGAAACTAGCGGACACGATGTTGATTCTTACTCATTGGACACTCCTTGAGATAAGCATTTAAATTTTGCAAGGAGTGTTAGTCACACGCCAAGATGAACAGTGTATTTTGAGATGATGACAACGGCAAACTGGCCACAAAGCCACATGCTAAGCCTGCGGTGCAACTTCCATATTCAATAAACTTGAGTTTTAGACGAAATTTATTTGACAAATAAAGAGTCTCAGAGCAAACAAGGTTCACTCTAACGGTCAAGACTCTTTATTACATATGCCATAGTAGCGAAGACTCATATAACTTAACTGTCAGCATCAATATTCCTAAAAGATCATTCTCATGTTCCAAGCTTAAGATACAAATAAAGGCTATCTAATTTTCATCTGAAAAGATGAAAACCAACGGGTGTACATCAGTGGGCAAGAAAAACTTATCATGTAGCGGATCAGACAATTAAGAATTTGATCACAGTACCTAAATTTAAATAAAGCTATCGTTAAAAAAACAACGGATTAGAAACACATATATTTCGAAAAGAGAATTTCCCAGAATAGATTGTGATATTGTCAATAAAAGAATATTCACAAATCTATGAAACAAATACGATGAACACTAAACATTTTAAAAAGTCGTAAGTATCATCAAATTGCACACATGAAGAACTTTCTCAGTGCTTCATTAAGGACGAAAGTATAAGCCAGGTTAACATGGAAATGTGCATAAATACTTAAGTTCAACACTGTACAAATATACCTAACATATCATAAGTGCCCGAAGCCACTTCAATTTGTCAAAAAATCACTTTAACACGATCGGTAATTCAATACCATATGAGAGGCTTAAACCAAATCAAACTTCAAGCTCCACAACGGATTTTCTTCCGAAGAAATTTTGTTGTTAGTTTATAATAAAACACTTTTCTTTTGTCAAGTATCACTCTGAATTTTCACTAAAATGAAAAGCAATATAAATGCTTAAACACTTTTACAACTTTCGCATTCATTTCTATAAAAAGTGAATTTCGAATCTACAACAATAGATAATTATTTTTGTCAAAAAATTAAATTTCATATCATTTTCTAATGTATAATATAGTGCTTGTCAATGTTTTTTGCGACTCATCGGATATTTCCTTAACAACCGCCTAAGAACCCTCATTCTCTCTGCGATCCACAGAATCGTTAGCGGTAAGCTGCTTTCTCTATAGTACCCGTGCGCATACCTTAATATTACAGGAAAAATTGTATAAAATAAATTTACTAAAACCGCGTTCCATACTTGGATTGTTAAGATTTTTGTTTTCTTCTCTAGAAGAAAAATACCATCATCCAGAATGCTCCCCCTTTCCTCTTGCTCATGCTCGACCGAGCACGGAATCGGGAATGGATGCTTCATGCGCTTCTTTATAATAAAACCATCTCTATAACTTTCTATATTCTGCCTGCATTCCAAATCACAAAAAGCAAGGGACATTTAAGGGTGAGAGATATGTCGTAAATTGTACAATCACAACGAAAGTGTTGAATGCAAAAACTGCTACATGCACAGTTGCTGCAGAATAACCTCAAGTGCATATGGAATCATGTTTTTTATTGTAGGAACATTGCATTTCCACATCAATCCAATGTTCCACTGGTAACAAAGTTGTAGATTGTATTATTTATTGCAAGTAATTACTCCATTCGCAAATAAAGTTTTTGCCAATATGCAATTGTTAAAATTAAGCTACGATTTTTTATATGAAGTCTGCTAATTTGATGACGACGGTTAGTTTTTATATGTTAATTAATAAAGACTTGCATCAATTTGTTGCAGGCCAAAATGATGCAACCAAATATGGCTGACAACAAATGCATCAACCTTTTTATTCTAGCAAGGCCCCATGTTGATTGGTACTATCTTGTATGTAATTAAGCCTTATCTTTAAAATTAAAATAGTGAGGCATATGTTGTTTCTAAAATTTTGCCGGGATTAGCTCGACAATGTAGTCCTTCACTGAATAGTTTAGAGATTTAGACTCAAACAAAGAGGGGAGGGGTGTTGTTGTAGTAGGCGACGGTTTCTCACTTGGAGATTATACCGAGACAGCCCCATGCCCCCTTAACCTTCCTAACCAATACACAGGGTTCTCTAATATGTTTCCCACCATATGCTGTTCCATGCACACACACACGCACGCACGCGCGCGCGCCACCAAAGGACAGCAAGCATCCCCACCACAAAAGGCAAAAAACAACTTCTAAATCACAATAAGCCAAACAATTTCTCTCATCTCCAGCTAAACTTCATCAATCTGCATGTCTGAAATGCAGCGAAACCTATATATAGAAAAAAATACTTGAATTAGTGTACTCAGCTAGTGAGGCAGATTACACCGGCTGATGGCCTGTTGGATAGTTTTTCAAACTTGTCACTATTAATAGCGGAACGTGCAGCGAACCATATGAGTAATATATGATTTATGACAATAGTCTGTCCACCTTAGTAGTATAAGAGAATGTGCAGTGAAAACTATATAGAAATGTTTATTCAACAGTGTCTCCGCCTATAGTTGCTAATAAGGCGAACGAACATGCAGCAAACCAATATCAGAAATGTATGATTGTTTCTCCAAAAACGCAATAAATGACTATTTATTCTCATCTCCAAGCATCTTTCATGCAATAAAGATTGACATGTCATGTAAAATAACTTCTAACTGATTGCTCGTTAAATCAGACCACTCATTATTAGTGCACTCATATGACAGTAGATGATCAACAAATGATCATGATAAATTCATGAAAAGAAACAAATCAAATAATAGGCTCCTATTGTAGCATTTATTCTGCTACGATAGATATCCGATATAGTGAATCTCCACAACATATAAATCTGAAAACTAAAGTCAAGACAGATTAGGGTGTCACGCCCCGAAACTACAGCGGAATATCATAAAATACGGGGTGCGCAACAGCAGCGACCAATGCCTAAGACAAGTCTTATGCACGGGTCAAGCCTGGCACTTCATATCACATAGTTTATTTCAAATATTCATAAACCTGCTAATGATAGAAGTCAGAGCAACTATATATATGATCGGTACTTACAGCCCACAAGCTCACCGTCATAAGCATTTTACAAAACAAAATAAATGGTGCTGAAGGTAACATCAAAATGAAGAGGCCCTCCATATAACGCCTCTCAGCCAAAAGTTCAAACTAAAAGTCGGCTAGTAGGAAGCTACGCCTGATCTGAAAAAAATATTAAAAACAACGGAATGAGCTAGCGCTCAGTGAGAACATTTCCCACTAGAGTTCCTAGATAACTAATAAATTAGTAACAAGAATAATTCTCATAAATAACGAAATTGCAAAATTTGCATGAGAAATTCAAAGATAATAAACTACGATCCAAATATCGTAATATTGTCATTTTTAAGAAAGAATACAACAATTATATTTTCTTTCTCATGTGCAACCGAATAAATTGTGAAATTTCTTGAAATCAAACTCTTTTTTTTTATCAAGGTAAACATTAAGAAGAAAAGAACTACTAATTTGGGCAAAATCAGAGAATTGTTGTTTTCTTAATTCCACAGTCAATTTATCAGAATCTTATTTCTCGATGAGTTATTTCAAGAACATAAAAGTCACCCCATAGGTCACACTAAGGCTACGAATTTTAGCCCAGTAGCAAGGGAATGCGTAACCGCATCAGATAACAGATAATTCCCGGGAACCGAATGCACCTAACACTGCCATAGGCTACTGGCCAAATACAGAGGGGCCAGAACAGATTTCAGAAGGGCCAATACAGAAGGGCCAAGGCCAAATACAGAAGGGCCAAATAAAGGTGCATTCACCATATGGCAGGCAGAACTAATTCATAGTGGACTATTTGAGGGTTTGAAAACATCGAGATCACATATCAAATGATAAATACTTTGCATACAGAATTTGCAGATATTTCAAATGAAATTGACAAGGTAAAGCTCCTCATTTCTGTTAAAACAGTTTACAGATTTTTCCTTTATCAGATACTAAGTCACAAAGAGTCTTTGAATCCGTTAAACTGTTGAAATACGTTCCAAATACCTCATCAAATTATTAAGATAAAACAATGTCCACGATTATTTGAAAATTGCATGAGAGCCAAATTTATTTTTCATATTTTATATACAGATCAAATTAGCTTTTCATATATTGTGCGAGGTTAACATAGTATTATAGGATAGACCACAACAGAAATAGGTCAAATCTTTATAGTCCACAATTATTTGAAAATTGCACGAGAGCCAAAGTTATTTTTCATATTTTACATAAAGATCAAATTAGCTTTTGATATATGGTACGAGGCTAACATCGTATTATAGGATAGACCACAACAGAAATAGGTCAAATCTTTATATACATGAAAAGACATATTATTTATTTATTTACTTTTATCACAAGATAAATCAGATATAAAACTCATGCAATTTCATATTATAAAATACTAGTGAGAAATGAACTCACCTCTAGTGGTCACGACTTTCTCAAAATATTAGTCTCCCGAATATCAACCAGAACCTATAATGTAAGATATATGACTAATTATTAATTCAGAACAAACATATATTATAGGTAAATCAATTCATAATCTAGAGTCTAATAAATTCAAATATAATCAATAAGGATTAAATTCTACAGTATATATGAGTTTATTGTTAATTTTAGCAATTTATCAAATTTTATAACTCTCATATACTAGCTTTTGGACTTTCTAGCAATTTATGATAAGACAGGGGTTTATATGTAATTACTCTATTCATATATGATTTTAGCTTTCTCTGTTAGGGTTACTTACAAAATTTTTGTGGCTTCTAGGGACTTAGAATGAATTTTTTAGGTCACAAAACTCTATTCTCCACTCAAGAGGGCTTTATAAGCAAGGTCAAAATAACTAAGGGTCTTTTTGTAAAATTCATTCCTTTAATATTACCCAACTGATCATCTTCCTCATTCTCCTTTCTTCGTTCCTTTCTGCTGCTGCTGCTTCTCTCTTTTTTTTTTTCCTTTTTCTTTTTTTTTCCGGTTTTCTTCTCCCCTCTCTCTCTTTCTTTCTCTTTCTCTCCTCCTTCCTCTCCCTGTCTCGCCATGGCTGCAGGATGGCGACGATGAACCCGTCGGTGACCAAGAACAGCCGACGACAACCACGAACGGCCGACGACGAGACCTTGCCGGATCTAGGGTTAGTTATCTCCTTTCTTTTCTTTTATTTTTCTAATTTGTTTCATGTATTCCTAAATACATAATAAAATTCCTTTTGAAACCCTAGATTCTTTTATTTCATATTCATAACAATTTTACTCTTCTAAAACAAGAAATCAACAAAAGGACACTTTACTCTTCTAAAACAAGAAATTAACATAGAAAAGAGTTTATACCTTTGGGTCACTTGAAAATTAGATGAAATCCTCTGTTTTCTTGTTCACTGTCTTCTTCCTCTTCTTCTTCTTCTTTTATTTCTTTTCACAATTTTAATTTGGGTTCTCAGAGGTTTGGGTTGAAGAAGGTGAGGTGATATTTCTCTGTGTTGTATTTTTTTTTTCTGTGATTTTTCTTTGATTTTCTCTGTTTTTCTCTGTTTTTATTCTCCTGTTAAGAGGTGCCGGCCAAACAAACGAAAGAAATTTAGCCACGAAATCATTAACGTGGCAACTACATAAGAGTTAGGGTGAAATCCCAAAATTACCCCTAATTAGTTCTTTAATCTGTCATAAAAATTATAAATCAAGTTTTTAATATCTGGGTTACTACACTCTTCCCTCCTAATAAAAAGTTTCGTCCTCGAAACTTAACATACCTATATCTCGAAGAGCTCTGGATATCTCTCTCGCATAGAATCTTCCGTCTCCCAGGTAGCTTCTCTTTCAGAGTGATTCTTCCACTGAACTTTCACATATTTGATTATTCGGTGTCGGAGTACTTGTTTTTTAAAATCCACAATACGTTCTGGTTTTTCCTCATAGGTCAAATCTGGCTTAAGCTCCACTGGAGATAACTCAACGATCTCATTTGGATCTCGGATGAACTTCCGAAGCATTGATATGTGAAATACATCGTGTACTCCAGACAGGGCTGGTGGTAATGCTAGTCTGTACGCCACTGGACCAATACGCTCTAGAATTTCAAAAGGACCAATGAATCTCGGACTTAACTTCCCTTGGATTCCAAATCTTTTCACTCCTCGGGTAGGCGAAACCTTTAAGAAAACATGATCGCCTACTTGAAATTCTAATTCCCTTCTTCTTTGATCAGCATAACTCTTCTGACGACTTTGTGCCGTGCGAAGACGTTCTCGAACTAAGTGAATTTTATCAATTGCTTGCTGTACCCACTCTGGTGCAAGAAGTTTTCTTTCTCCAATATCATCCCAATGAATAGGAGACCTACACTTCCTTCCATAAAGAAGTTCATATGGTGCCATCTGAATGCTAGCTTGGTAGCTATTATTATATGCAAACTCAGCCAAAGGCAGATAATCTTCCCACGATCCTTTCATCTCCAGAACACAACATCTCAACATATCTTCTAGTGTTTGAATTGTCCGTTCTGATTGGCCATCTGTTTGTGGATGATAAGCTGAGCTGAAATTTAGTTTGGTCTGCAGAGCTCTGTGCACACTTTTCCAGTATTCTGATGTGAACCGAGGATCTCCGTCAGAAACTATTGATATTGGTATACCATGCAACCTTACTATCTCATTAATGTACATCTTAGTCAGCTTTTCTAATGAGAATTTCATATTGATAGGTAAAAAGTGTGCTGACTTTGTCAACCGATCAACAATCACCCATATTGCATCATTCTTTCTCAAAGATTTTGGAAGGCCAGTGACAAAATCCATGGTGATCTTTTCCCATTTTCACATTGGTATGTCCAAGTTATGGACTAATCCAGCTGGTCTTTGGTGCTCAGCCTTTACTTGTTGGCAAGTGAAACATTCTGCAACATAGGTGGCAATTTCCTTCTTCATATTATTCCACCAATATATTTCCTTCAGGTCTTTATATATTTTTGTTGATCCAGGATGCATAGTATACAGAGAGTGATGTGCCTCTTTTAGAATCTTTTTCTTTATCTCTGGTATGTTAGGCACACAAACTCTAGTTCCAAACCTCAATGATCCATCTTTATGTATCTTAAATTCTCCTCGAGTGCCTTCTTCTACATCTTTCTTTATCTTCAACAGTTGAGGATCATTCTGCTGGTTTGCTTTAATTTCATCTAGCAAAGAGGGTTGTATTACCATATTTGCTAATTTAACTCCAATTTGGTGGATTCTAATTTCAATTCCAGTACGATCCAACTCCTCCAATATTTTTCTTTGAGAGGTAATTAAGCATGCTAAATTGCATGAATTCTTGCGGCTCAAGGCATCAGCAACAACATTTGCCTTGCCAGGGTGATAATGGATGGTCATATCATAATTTTTCAGAAGCTCCAACCATCTTCTTTGCCTTAAATTCAACTCCTTCTGGGTAAATATATATTTCAAACTCTTGTGGTCAGTATATATATCACAATGTACTCCATATAAATAATGTCTCCAAATTTTGAGAGCAAATACTACCGCCGCTAACTCAAGATCATGAGTGGGATAGTTTTGTTCATAAGGCTTTAACTGCCTTGAAGCATATGCTATGACTTTTCCATTTTGCATAAGTACACATCCCAATCCTCTTCTAGATGCATCACTATAAATAGCAAAGCCTGTGTCTCCACTAGGTAATGCAAGTATTGGAGCAGACACTAATCGACTTTTTAGCTCTTGAAAGCTTTTCTCACATTCATCTGACCAAATAAATTTAACTCCCTTCTGAGTAAGACGAGTTAGAGGTGAAGCAATACGAGAGAATCCTTCCACAAATTTTCTATAGTAGCCAGCCATACCAAGAAAGCTACGTATCTCCGTCACCGTAGTCGGTCTGTCCCATTTAACAATGGCTTTTACCTTTTCAGGGTCCACAGAAATCCCTTCCTTAGAGATTACATGCCCAAGACATGCTACTTCCTTCAACCAGAATTCACATTTCTTAAGTTTCGCATACAATTGTTCTCTTTTTAATGTGTGTAACACCTGCCTCAAGTGTTCTTCATGTTCTTCTTTACTTCTTGAGTATATCAGAATATCATCAATAAATACCACAACAAACTGATCTAAGAAAGGTTTAAATATTCTGTTCATAAGATCCATAAATGCTGCAGGTGCATTTGTGAGCCCGAATGGTAAAACTAAAAATTCATAATGACCATATCGGGTTCGAAATGCAGTCTTTGGCACATCTTCCGACTTAATCTTTAATTGATAGTAACCAGAACGGAGATCAATCTTTGAAAATACCTGAGCTCCTTGTAATTGATCAAATAGATCATCAATTCTCGGTAATGGGTACTTGTTCCGAATGGTTACTTTATTCAACTCACGGAAGTCAATACACAATCTCATACTTCCATCTTTCTTCTTTACAAATAACACTGGTGCACCCCAGGGTGACACACTCGGCCGAATGAAGCCTTTATCTAAAAGTTCTTGCAGTTGTATTTTGAGTTCTCTCAATTCAGCAGGTGCCATTCGATAAGGAGCCTTAGAAATAGGACTCGTACCAGGTACTAGGTCAATTGAAAATTCAATTTCTCTATCTGGGGGCATCCCTGGAAGTTCATCTGGAAATACTTCTGGAAATTCTCGGACAATTGGTATTTCTTCCAAGCTTGGTTTTCCATCATCAACCATCTCAATTGAAGCCAAATAACCCATACATCCACTCCTCAGCGCTCGATATGCTTTAAGGGCTGAGATAATTTTTAAGGGTTCTTGACACTTGCCGCCCTCAAAACAAAATTCGGGTTGGCCAGGAAATTTGAATACTACTTTCTTTTCTCGACATAAAATAGAAGCATGATTTAAGGATAACCAATCCATCCCCAATATGATATCGAAATCATGCATTTCTAGCATCATTAATTCTACGGGGAGTTCTTTGTCGAGAATATAAATTTTACCCCTACAGCCTTGATTTGATACTAATATGCTACCTCCAGGTGTATTAACAAGCAATTCTTGTTGTAGGGTATCACATGGAAATTTGTTTCTCTTAACAAACTGTGCAGCAATAAAGGAATGCGATGCACCAGAATCAAATAGTACTCGAGCAGGAACTGATGCAAAAGTTAGCGTACCTGTCACCACATCCTTGTTTGCTTCTGCTTCCTTCTCAGTCAAAGAATAAACTCGGGCCTTGGCTTGAGGATACCGATTCCCACCACTGGACTGGCCAGTCTGGAAAGTATTCCGAGATGGTTGTTGTAGGGGACAATTTGCTATCTTGTGATCTTTTTGACCACATCTCAAGCAAGCCCCAGTATTTCTCCAACAACTTTTCGCTTCATGCCCAAGTTTATGACAAACATCACATCTCAAAGTTTTCTGATTTGGAAATTGCTCCTCTCTGCGTCCAAAATTTTGCTTCTTGTTTCTCCAATTCTTGTTCTTTCCTCCGCGATTATCCTGCCAGAACCGCTTCTTTGGGTAGGAGTTGCTCGTCTCATTCTTTGGCTTTGTATCAATTTCATTTTTCTCAATTAACAAGGCCTTCTTTAGCACTTCTCCATATGTAGGGAGTTCAAATGCACTGACCGTCTTCCGAATGTCCGGTCGAAGCCCTTCCTCGAAGCGACGAGCTCTATCTTCCTCATTACCCAACAAGTGAATGGCAAATTTTGATAGATAAGTGAACTCTTCTTCATATTCAGCTACTGTCTTATCACCTTGCTCCAAATTTCGAAACTCCTGCTCTTTTTGTTTGCGAACAGTTGAAGGAAAATATTTTTCATAAAAAATCTTTTTAAACTCCTCCCATGATAACTTGTATGCCTTCTCACCCAATGTCCTGACCTGCATTTGCCACCACCCGTAAGCGCGGTCTTTTAACATGTATACTGCATAATCAACCTTCTCCTCTTCAGGGCATTTCATGTATGTGAAGACCTTCTCCATTTCTGTGATCCAATGCTCAGCAATCATGGGATCAGCCGTTCCCTCAAAACTGGGTGGAGATAGTTTCTTGAATTCTCCCATGCCACTTCTTAATTTTGGGTGCTCCTCATTTTGACCATTCGTCTGATTACGATCAATTTGATCTTGTTGTCTGGTGACTACAGTTGTCACCGCTTGCAGCAGATCCATCAACGCATTGTTATCTATTGGGTTCCCGGAAGTGGATGCACGAGAAATTCTAGATCTCATCTATTGTCTGATTTAGATCCCTATCTCCGTTAAGAGGGGTTTGCTCATTACCTGGAGTCATATCTTCCTATAAATAATAAAATATTTCAGTCAACTATTATACAAGGAAAATTCCTAAGTCAGTCACATATATGCAATTTAAGTAATTAGGAACTCAATCATTACTCAACATAATAACACAAATCAGTATTTACAAACCAAAAGTATATTATTAATATTTAACTTTTTTTAGTTCATACACATATCTGAGTATATGGGTTTATATATACATATTTTCTACCAAAATGTCCTACATAAACCAAAAGAGTAACTATAAAAACCCATATACTGATATTACAAAATTGCCCTAACAGTTATGCTCTATTTCCCTGAAGAAGAATAATTTCTGAAGGTGATGACTCAATTGGAACAACTTCTACCACGAGATCCTCATCGTCAGCATGTTCAAGCTCAGACTCAGATGAATCTATCATAACAACTTCTACTGGTTCAACCTCTGGTGAGTCTGGGGTCATATGATTAGTCATTATCACATTCGGATCAGTTTCATCGGAAGTGTATCCCCAGTCTCTCAGGCTAGGTTCCCACGAGCTATCTATGGAAATCATAGGGCTGGACAGGGTAGCTGACGAACTGGAAGATGAATTGGTTCCCGCCATCCTACAAAAGGGGAACCATCCATCAGCTTACTGAAGAAAGAGGACAAAGTGAAATAACATAAACATCTAAGTATTCCTTAATAACCCTAAAAGGTTTTACTATAAAATATTTATATGCATACATATATATATATACGTATGTATACAGACATATATATCACATAATTGATCCATACGCTAACACTCATCTAGCGCATATACTCTATGATAGCGTGCCCTACAAGGTTTCTAACGTCGAAACCTAAGCTCTGATACCACCTTACTGTCACGCCCCGAAATCTGCAGCACAGCAGCGACCCGTGCACAAGACAAGTCTTATGCACGAGTCAAGCCTGGCAATTCATATCACATAGTTTATTCCAAAATATTTATAAACCTGCTGATGATAGAAATCAGAGCAACTATATATATATGATCGGTACTTACAGCCCACAAGCTCACCGCTATAAGTATTTTTACAAAACAAAATAAAATACGCTGAAGGTAACATCAACAAGAAGAGGCTCCCCATATAACGCCTCTCTGCCAAAAGCTCAAACCACAAGTCGGCTAATAGGAAGCTACGCCGGATCTGCGTCGGATCTGAAAAAAATTAAAAACAACGGAATGAGCTAGCGCTCAGTGAGAACATTTCCCACTAGAGTTCCTAGATAACTAACAAAATAGTAATAAGAATAATTCTCAGAAATTTACAAATTTTAAGTTTTGCATGAGAAATTCACAGATAGCAGAATACGATCCAAATATCGTAATATTGTCATTTTTAAGAAAGAATACAACAATTATATTTTCTTTCTTATATGCAACTGAATAAACTGTGAAATTTCTTGAAATCAAATCCTTTTGAATCAAGGTAACATTAAGAAGAAAAGAACTACTAATTTGGGCAAAATCAGAGAATTGTTGTTTTCTCAATTTCACAGTCAAATTATCAGAATCTTATTTCTCGATGAGTTATTTCATGAACGTAAAAGTCACCCCATAGGTCACACTAAGGCTACGAATTTTAGCCCAGTAGCAAGGGAATGCGTAAACCGCATCAGATAACAGATAATTCCCGGGAACCGAATGCACCTAACACTGCCATAGGCTACTGGCCAAATACAGAGGGGCCAGAACAGATTTCAGAAGGGCCAATACAGAAGGGCCAAGGCCAAAATACAGAAGGGCCAAATAAAGGTGCATTCACCATATGGCAGGCAGAACCAATCCATAGTGGACTATTTGAGGGTTTGAAAACATCAAGATCACATGTCAAATGAGAAATACTTTGCATATCAGAATTTGCAGATATTTCAGATGAAATTGACAAGGTAAAACTTCTCATTTCTGTTAAAACAGTTTACGAATATTTACTTTTCCTTTTATCAAATACTAAACCACGGAAAATCTTTGAATCCGTTAAACTGTTGAAATACGTTTCAATATTTCATCAAAAACTTTCAGATATAACAAAGTCCACAATTATTTGAAAATTGCACGAGAGCCAAAGTTATTTTTCACTTTTTACATAAAGATCAAATTAGCTTTTCATATATTGTACGAGGCTAACATCGTATTATAGGATAGACCACAACCGAAATAGGTCAAATCTTTATATACATGAAAAGACATATTATTTATTTATTTATTTTTATCACAAGATAAATCAAATATAAAACTCATGCAATTTCATATTATAAAAATACTAGTGAGAAATGAACTCACCTCTAGTGGTCACGACTTTCTCCAAATATAAGTCTCTCGAATATCAACCAGAACCTATAATGTAAGATATAGGACTAATTATTAATTCAGGACAAACATATATTATAGGTAATTCAATTCATAACTAGAGCCTAATAATATCTTTTACTCTTCAAATTGGACTTGTTTGGAAATAGAGTAATTGATAGGGGTCTATATGAAATTATTCTGTTCATATAAGATTTTAGCTTCCTCTGTTAGGGTTACTTACAAAATTTTTGTGGCTTCTAGGGACTTGGAATGAATTTTTTAGGTCACAAAACTCTATTCTCCACTCAAGAGGGCTTTATAAACAAGGTCAAAATAACTAAGGGTCTTTTTGTAAAATTCATTCCTTTAATATTACCCAACTGATCATCTTCCTCACTCTCCTTTCTTCGTTCCTTTCTGTTGCTGCTGCTTCTCTTTTTTTTTTCTTCTTTTTTTTTTCCGGTTTTCTTCTCCCCTCTCTCTCTTCTGTTGCTGCTGCTTCTCTTTTTTTTTTCTTCTTTTTTTTTTCCGGTTTTCTTCTCCCCTCTCTCTCTTTCTTTCTCTCTCTCTCTCTCTCTCTCTCTCTTTCTCTCCTCCTTCCTCTCCTTGTCTCGCCATAGCTGCAGGATGGCGACGATGAACCCGTCGGTGACCAAGAACAGCCGACGACAACCACGAACGGCCGACGACGAGACCTTGCCGGATCTAGGGTTAGTTATCTCCTTTCTTTTCTTTTATTTTTCTAATTTGTTTCATGTATTCCTAAATACATAATAAAATTCCTTTTGAAACCCTAGATTCTTTTATTTCATATTCATAACAATTTTACTCTTCTAAAACAAGAAATCAACAAAAGGGAAGGGTTTATACCTTTGTTTACTTGGATATTAGATGAAATCCTCTGTTTTCCTCTCACTGTCTTCTTCCTCTTCTTCTTCTTTTATTTCTTTTCACAATTTTAATTTGGGTTCTCAGAGGTTTGGGTTGAAGAAGGTGAGGTGATATTTCTCTGTGTTGTATTTTTTTTTTCTGTGATTTTTCTTTGATTTTCTCTGTTTTTCTCTGTTTTTATTCTCCTGTTAAGAGGTGCCGGCCAAACAAACGAAAGAAATTTAGCCACGAAATCATTAACGTGGCAACTACATAAGAGTTAGGGTGAAATCCCAAAATTACCCCTAATTAGTTCTTTAATCTGTCATAAAAATTATAAATCAAGTTTTTAAGGCATTAATTAGTTGGGTTACTACAGGATTATTGTGAAATTGTTAACAAGATATGTGAATCAGCTAAGATATGAGACCATCATAAGGTGAAAAGTTGACCAGTATTCTAGATCAGCTTAAGTCTATGTTAACATAATCCTCAACATAGTTAAGTCGAGTTTCTTCTTTCAGGTCATCTGGTGTTAACTAATGATTCGGTGGATTGAGGATTTGCATCCACTTCCTTCCTCAATTAGAGTACATCTGAAAGAAGCATATGTCAGTGATGGTGCTATAAGCTCGATTCAGTCAGGTTTGCCCTAAGCATCCATCTATTCACATCTTTTGTTTGCCCTAAGCAAGCATCTATTCACATCTTTTGTTACTGGCTGGATGATATGAGGGTTTTTCAATTAAATCACTCTAAACAAGTGTTGTTCTATGTATCTTATTTTTACCTATTAATATGGCAATGTAGTTCCTAGAAATTTCTTATAAAATAGAAATCATCACTGTTTGCCTGATCCCAACGATACATCCATCACAAATGTACGTGCAGCGGATACATGCGTATGTCATGTGCATGACACATATGTATATGATCATGTCTATGCTTATATGCATGTTGGTATGTATAGAGGGGGATAGTGAATATGAGTTGCGACGTCATTTGCACAAATGTGCTACCAAGAGGTATGAGTGGCGAGGTTCACATTTCCCGATGTGACAAGCATAGTAGGCCTCACCATTATCATGTCTTGTTTCCACACACTGCAAATGAGTAGCCACTTCATAAGCTCATACCTGTTTTTCCAGACCATACACATATTCACACACACGATGCGCACGCACATATATATTGTCAATTTGGTTTATGTATCCTGTAAGGCTATACTTGTAGCTACAAGTAGCCAAGCCCATGCAAATCCCAAATAATGCCCAGAAATTGAATCGACCTGTAATCACACAGGGTAAAGGAGTGATAGGATCACAGTTAATTAGGTGAGTGACATGGAGTCAGATGTGGGCTAAGCAAACAAAAATAGGGGCAGACAACATATTGAAAAAAGGATGTGATCATGTATATTAACTAGAATACAATCATCAGCAAAAAAAAAACTAGAATACAATCAATAGGATTCTAAATTATCTCATCAAACCATATATGATTTATGATTTGCAAATCGGAAGTTCTAAATACAAAGAAATGCACAATTCACAAAAGTTGCACAAATTTATTTTTGTCATGTGTATATTTTTGGTTTAATGAATATGATATATGTACACCTAAAACTTTTTATAGAATGTGTAGCCTTTCTCAATTAATTTTAAAAAAATTTGATGCTGCTTTATTCTTGTTATGCAGGAACTTGGATTTGATAATTTTGGAAGCAGAGAGCAACTTGTCATGAGGTTACAAGCAAACTGGAATATTTAAACTATTGTTCTCTTCTTTCTTTTCTTTCACATTTTCCTATCTTTCCATTGTGTTTCTTTTTTTCTTCATGGATTACAAGCAAACTGGAATATTTAAACAAACCTTTAGTGTTGACTTGGAAATGGAAATGAATGCAACTATTTTGCAATGGGAGCAAATTCTTTGTTTATCATAATATGCAACTTGTTTGGAGTATAATTTGATGTTTGATTTCTTTGTTGATGTGAATGAGAGCAAATTTTTTATGGATGTTCAGGTTCAGTGTAGGCTTGTAGTTGACAGAAAAGATATTACTTTTGGCGATGCAAATTAGTGTCGACAAAAGTATACTTTTTACCGACGCATAATTATGCGTTGCTAAAAATTATACTTTTAACAAGGCTATCTTGCATCGCCAAAGATATAGTTTTTAGCGACGATTCATTTTGCGTCGCTAAAAGCTACACTTTTGTTGACGCTAACTTGCGTCGTCAAAAGTATAACTTTTAGTGACGAACAGTTTTGCGAAGCTACACTTTTGCCGACGCATTGGCTTTTGCCGACGCTGCATGTGTCGCCAAAAGTACAAGTTTTGCCGACGCACTTTTGCATATGAAAAAATTCTGCATACTTTTGCCGACGCAAAATATTATGTGTCTCTAAAAGATGTATTTTTTCTGACGCATGAAGCGTCGCCAAAAGTGTTGACTTTTACCGACGCAGTGTGTTTGCGTCACCAAATATTTTCCTTAACGCACTTTTTGTGACGCGTTAGCGACATTTCATTTTGCGTAGAGAAAGATTTTTCACGACGTTTTTTAAATTTTTGCTGATGTTTTTGTTTCATCGGTAATGCTGTATTTTGTTCTAGTGATATATTATTAGTCGACTAATGGAACACCTAGTCGACTAGATTCAGCTTTCCAGAAACTTTGAATCTTTCTGTTACAGGTCAATTAGTCGACTATATAGATGGTTAGTCGACTAATATTCAAACCTAGTCGACTAATAGAGGACCTAGTCGACTAGACAGGCAGTTTACAGCTGTTTGATATTTTGAATAAGTGATCGTTTTATAGCCGTTTTAAAACGTTAATAAGGTTTAAATTTGAAAGATTTTGAGGCTATAATAGGTCTTAATACCTGCAATTCATGAGGGATGATCATATAGACAAGTTTTGAAATTACAAGTGATTTTATTGAAAAAGTTTTTGATCAACAACTTGGCGTTCTTGAATAGGTTCTGATCTTTCTACTACTTCAATTCTAGATCAGATTACATCCCATAGCCAATTACAAATCACCGTCACATCCACTCAAGGCTTATAGGGATTTGTTTTTTTTTTTCACTTTCTTCTACAAGGAATCTCTTTGAGAATGAGATTGATGTACAAGTGGTAACAGGGAGTTGTCCACATTGTATGGTTTCAATTCTTGCGGGGAGCAAGGTTAATAATAAAGGAAAATCTCAAACGGAGACAGGCTTGGGGATTGGATTTAGGTCTGGAGGACCGAATCAATATATATCTTTGTGTTTGCGATTGTTCTTGTGAATGTTTGCAGCAAAATTGGTTTGATCTTTCCATACTTTGTATATTGTGTTGTAAACAATTTAAATTCTGCATTATTTTTTATTACACTATTCATCCCCCCTCTAGTGTATTATTGTGACGTTGCAGCGATCTTACAGGGGACATTCTTTAATTTCCCTTATTTTACAATGTGAAATTTAATGATGTTAATAACATTAGAGTTGATATACAAGTACATTTAAACTTCAACAATAGCCACTGATCACTTCCACAAGCAATTGAATAATTCATGGAGCAATCTCTCATCCAGAAGCCTTTTGATTCTTATAAAATTTTTACTCAGCAATTGATAGTAAATAAAGATTTCATAGTGTTCAAGAAAACAATCCAGTATCTTCTGTTATTATAAATGGGTTAAAATTATATTGGAAATAAGGGTTAAAATACCAAAATAAAGCTGAAACTTGATGATTAATGGGGTTTTTTAACTGTGCTTAATGTGATGGTCTCATTTGATTTAAACTAATTGCCTTATTATGTATTTATTTTGCGCTAGAACTAACATGGTACAGATTAGAACTAACACGATATAAACTAGAACTGTCACGAACTGCGCTAGAACTAACATGACTTATGGTAAGTCTAACTTGACGCCAACTAGAACTAACGTGACTCATGGTATAACTAGCATGGATCCAACAAGAACTAATAACGTGACTCATGGTATAACTAGCATGGATCCAACAAGAACTAACATGCATTTCAATCAAAACTAACAGGGTGAATTTAGAAATAGCATGTTCTTACAAGAAAGAACACTGATACGACTCCATATCCTTTGTCATATGCCACTTGGTTAAGCATGTCCAATACTGCTTCTTCCATCTGTAAATGTTATGAAACATTAAAATTCAATTTAAACAAGACTTTTTCAATTATTAAGCATGTATAATCTAATCTTGTCGTCAAGCCGGCCACCACGAAGTAAATATAACAACTCTTCTTTGTTAATACTGTTGTTGGATGTTACTATAACATTATATCTCCTGAAAATTAGAACTAACATGAATTAGGACTAATATGTGACGAATTAGCATATAAATAGTCAACTGAAACTTACCTTTGAATCTTCTGAGAGCAAAATTTGGTTAGCCTATCGATTTGAGCTTTGTCGAGTCTGGCTGCTACTACAGATGGTATCTTTAAATTACGTACAAAAGCACATGTGCTATCTATTATGCGTATGTTAAACAATATAGGGTCTAGAATCTTTTTATTCAGCTCTCCCAATAGAGCTACCTCATCATCTGTCATTGGTTTCAAACTCAACACATCCTAAGTGGGGATTTGATTACCGGGGTAAAAATGAGTAACTTTGTCATCTAGTTTTACATTTTCAGGACTTTCAAGTGTTTCTACTTTAATTTTTTTCCTTTTTCTTTCTTTTTCCTCCAGTATATGGGGTCCTCGTCCATTTAGATCTCCTGCTTACCCTTCTTGGCTGTGAGCAACCCTTTGCTTCCACATTGGTCGTTAGAACTTCTAGAAGTTTGTCCACATCATGTTTAATATTCACAAGATCCTCTTCTTCCTGTGCTTCCAACCCCTCTACAACTTTGCCTAGAACTTGACTGTTATCTGCACCTTTGTTATCTACAATAACTTTTTCATGTTCAACATGATCCTCTTCCCTATCCACATGTTCCTCCTCCATGTATACATTATCCTCAGCCTTACTATCTACATTCGCGTCAACCATACTATCTACATTCTCCCCTTCTCTATCAACATGCTCCTCACACTTATCTGGATTCTCCTCCTCCTTATCTACGATATCCTCCTCCTTATCTACACCATCAGTAGGATCCTCATCAAAACCTTTGTTATCTACAATAAAATTTTCATGTTCAATATGCTCATCTTCCTTATCTACATGTTCAACCTCGAGATCTACACTATCCTCAACCTTACTATCTACATTTAGGTCAACCTTACTATCTACATTCTCCAACCTCGAGATCTACACTATCCTCAACCTTACTATCTACATTTAGGTCAACCTTACTATCTACATTCTCCCCTTCTGAAATAACATGCTCCTCTTCTATAACTATCTACATTTAGGTCAACCTTACTATCTACATTCTCCCCTTCTGAAATAACATGCTCCTCTTCTATAACCTTGTCGTCAACATGATGCTTCACATCCTCTTCAACAATCTTATGTACATGTTCTTGCATGGTGGGGTATTCCTTATATACACTGCTTGTTTTGGACTTCTGTTCCTCTTGAGCTACCCGTCACTTCTTCCTCATTTTATTTGTAATTTTCTGTTTGATATTCACCTTCAGCACCACCGAGTCTATAACCTCATCATGTCTTTCAAATTTTTTAATTATCCTGTTTAGCCTGTTTATCTCCATCATGAATTCTTTACCGTATGTACTCTTATTCTGCTTTGTAGCAACTAGTAGTCGTTTGAGAAATTTAGCAAAATTTCTCCAAAATATAAGTTGCTGCTCAATGGGAAGAACATTGATCTCCTCTTCATCGTCGAAAGCAACGTCAATATGCTTTACCATGATCTGTATAATTTAAAGTAGGATCACACATAATTAGGATATTGTTTGCAGTTGGTGTGAAATGAATACGACTTAACATAACAGGATACTTACGTATTGTTTGCAGTTGGTGTGAAATGAATACGACTTAACATAACAGGATACTTACGTAGCCTATTGAGAAGTTCTTAGTAGTTTCCTCCTGGATAGACAGGATACTTACGTAGCCTATTGAGAAGTTCTTAGTAGTTTCCTCCTGGATAGCCTTCCTCTTTGCCTGGCGCTTATGATACACAACTTCACCCCTCTGTACAGCGGGAAGTGCATGAACATGACCTGGAGAAGGGACCTCCACAATAGGGCTATGGACAAAAGTTATTGACGCTGACTTAGCCTATGCCGTAATTGTCTCCACCCTCATAGATGGGACTTTCGCATCCTCTGGTGCCTAATTTGTCATTGAAGGTCTGGAGCAGTCTACGAGGGCAAATTTCTTTATGCCGGTCATCTCGTAGTACCAAAGCTGTAGCAAATATATTTAGCATTTAGAATAATACTAGACTACACCAAAGAGAGTAAACTATGGGTACAGCTAGAACTAACATGGTATAAATTAGGACTAAGACATTAATTAGAACAAACATAAACTATGTTAGAACCATCATGAGCCCAGGTAGAACTAACATGACCTAAGTTAGGACTAATATACGTGCATCCATATGCCACTGACGAATCTTCGGGGCAATTCACTTCATGAATTCCCAATAGGCCCCGATATTGGCGGTTAACCTTAGTGATATGACCGCACCTGTAAGAGCAACTTTTTCCCTGCAAAAAGATTTCGAATTTGTAAGTTCAATAAGACCTATGAACTCATATTAGACCTAACACTAACGAGAATATAATAGAACTAACGCGTACTGTTATAGAACTAACATTGGACTCAAACTAGAACTAACATTGGACTCAAACTAAAACTCATGTGGACTCAGACTAGAACTAACAATATCGTGGTAAAACCTAGCATTATTTAAGATGAACTGAAATTAGGAAAAATTAGGTCGAGTTCCCAAATACTGGAAAACATAGCACTTACTGTTTTTTTTTGGGTTCGTTGGTACGACGAGCCAATGCCGTTCTTCTTTTCCGGGCTGGCCATTTTATTGCCTGCTTTTGCATTTCCATACGGGTTAGAGTAGCTTCCTCCGCACTACCAACCACAGATGAACCGTCTTTGCCCATCGACTCGTCTCGTTGAACGACCTCGTAGTCGTTAACGGATCCTTCAATGGACGACATTTTTCTGACGAAAACCCTAGAACTGTTGAAATCCGAACAGAAATTAGAAAGATGAAGAGTTTTTGAGGCTCCTAAGCGGTGGAAGAGAGAGAAAGAGAGGGAGGGTACTTGAATAGGGCTGCGGCGCATTAACCTAGTTCAGTCCCATCAGAGGGGCACAATCGTAACTTCCGCTGGGTCTTTTCTGAAAAAAGTCTTTTCGGGGCCTCATCGCAAATGCTGTGTGTAATTTGGGACTTATCCATATGGGGGAAAATACAAGGGGCCTCGTCACGTGAAGTTTCTGCTTTTAGAGCCTGGACACATTTTTCCCTATTAATTTACATAAATAATAAATTTTATAATTTTTTTACCCCATAAAACTAATGACCACGCGCGACGCGGGTGCAATCTACTAGCATCGAAAAAAGCCGCTCTGAAGACGTACGTCAACACCAGAACCTCAAAAAAAACTCCTTCGTCGGAGCCAAACCCCTCCGCCGTCCCACGGCCGCAGTGGAAATCGATTCCCAATCTACCCTCCTCGCTGCTGGCAGAGCCCTTCCCAATCTAGCCCCTACCTCCCAGACATGCCCACGACGCGCGGACCCCGACGCGGCCCGACCGTGCCACCCCTCCCTCTCAGAAAGCGCCGGCCGGCGGGAAAAGCAATTCCCCGAAATGATCGCCCTCCTCCAATCCGTCCGATCCTCGCCTAACTCTGGCCGGCCGCTTCGATCATCTAGCAACGAGAAAGCCCTAGATCGCCCTGCATCCGCAGCCAATCAACCGCTCGATCTCGTTCCCGCCCCGCAGCTCATCAGCTTCACGACCTCAACACCGAATCCCTAATCGCCCACGCCGTCGGTTTCCCTATCGATTCCCTCACCGAGGAGGAGATCGAGGCCTCCGTGATACCGGTGATCGAACCCCTCGCTCAGTCTAACTACATCACGGTGAGAAATCACATCGTCTCCCTCTTTCGATGCAACCCGTCGAGTTTTCTGACCGAGGATCAGGCCGCTGCTTCGATTCGATCCGAGCATCGGCGTCTCGTCACCGCCGCTTACTCTTTCCTTCACACTCACGCTTACATTAACTTCGGCGTGCTCAACAACATCCCTCCTTCGCTCCCCCCCTCGATCTCTTCCAATGGCGTTGTGATCATAATCGGCGCGGGGCTCGCTGGCCTCGCTGCCGCTCGACAACTTCAAGCTCTGCACTTCAAAGTTGTCGTCTTGGAAGGCCGCGGCCGCCCTGGTGGCCGGGTACTCACCAAGAAGATGACCGGTGGTGACCAGTATGCCGCAGCTGATTTGGGTGGTAGCGTACTCACCGGAATCAACGGTAACCCTTTCGGAGTTCTTGCAAGACAATTAGGGTTTCCATTACATAAGGTTAGGGATAAATGCCCGCTATATTTACCTAACGGGAGGCCCGTGGATCCTGTGGTGGACTCAAAGGTGGAGGTTGCATTCAATCAGTTGCTCGAGAAGGTTTGTAAGCTGAGACATGCGATCTTGGAGGAGATGAAGGATGTGGATGTTTCTTTGGGGAAGGCGTTGGAGGCTTTTAGGAAGGTTCATGGAGTGGCAGAGACGGATGAGGAGAGGATGCTGTTGAACTGGCACCTGGCGAATTTGGAGTACGCGAATGCTACGTGGTTATCGAGCCTTTCAATGGCGTACTGGGATCAGGATGATCCGTATGAGATGGGAGGGGATCACTGTTTTATTCCCGGAGGCAATGGGAGGTTTGTGAAGGCAATGGCAGAGAATGTGCCTATTTTGTATGGTCGGACTGTTAGTAGAGTGCATTATGGCAGTGATGGTGTGTTGGTCTGCGCAAATGGGCAGGTTTATCGAAAGCTTGATTTGTTTCGTATTGCATTTATGGTTCAATGTAGCATGGTTCTTGTTCTAGGTGTTTTTAGAAATACATTTGGTTTAGATTATGATGGTAGGATATGAATGTTTTAGTTATCATCTATGAAGATGAAACTTCTCATACCAAACTGATGTTTGTGGTCCTGCGGGCATGAAGTTGTTGCCTACAATGCCATGCTTAGACGATTTCATTAGGGAAGGTAAAAAATACATGGGATAATATTTCAAGTACAACATACCTTCAAGTCCTAAATTTTATGTTCTTAGATAAAGCAGGACATTAATCCCTATCCTGGAATTAGATTCATTCTCAAAATGGACCTCTGTATCCCGAAAATGAAATATCCATGTAGGGAGCCTTTGTATTTTAGTATCTTTGAAATATACAATCTCAAGATTCAACCACAAAATCCCTAAACTTGAATACTTCATGTGTTCAGTTATGCACTGCTGAACTTAAATTTCAATGTCATCCCAAATTAAGAAATGAAGTGAGTTCTAAGTTCGAGACTGGACCACCAATTCTTTAAAATAAAACCAAAAATGAAGTTTCAGTCTCATGGTAGACCAAGGAAAGTGTTCCTAACACTGATTTCTTCGGAATAGCTGTAGCGTTTTCAATACTATCTTGGCTGATGCCATTTCTTTGGTTTGACAGAATACAATCCCATCTTCACAGCCAATTCCTCTTGGTGTGCAAAGTATCTCTTGGTACATACTTACCCATGTCCCCTTGGGCAGAATAATGCAAATCTGCACCAACACTTGGCCTGGTTGTTGGGCTGGTGAATATAATTCAACTTCCTACTTGGTTGATTTCTTCGGACTGACTAAAGTGACTAGAAAATTAATCTTGAAACAAATTATTAAGGTCATAAGTTTTAATCCAAGTCTGAACCTTATACCATATATTGACCCTATAATTAAGGATTCCTTGGACTAAATTCAAATTTTCAAGGATGTACACTTAAGCCCGTAAAGTGTAAGCAACCTGAACTTTAGAATGTTTCATATAATCTGGCCACTGATGTTGTTAAATGCCTACATTCAGACATCACATAATGAAATCTGTTTATATGCCCATGGTCAGACATCACGTAGTGAAATCAGTTTACACATGTTCACCAATCAAATTATCTGGAACTATGGGAAATTAATTTTAATAGTTATATATGTTTTAAGATCGAAAATTCTCAAGCAACTAGACAAAAAGAAAAAATATGGTAGGTTTTCTAAATAATGCAATTATTCATCACCTAGTAGAGTATGTTTGTGACTTGAATAGCTTACCATATAATGCAAACTTGTAAGTTGTAAATAACTAATGTTTCATTGTAGTAAAAATCACTAATCAACGTCTATCAACAAATCGAAACGAAAATGTTAGTATGATATCATCATTTGTTTTACCATTTGTGGGTAAATGTTAAGCACTAGTTATTTGATTGTTCACTAACTTCAGGACTCAAGGAGAACAACAGAAGCCTTTTCAGATAGGATATAGAAAAGCGAAGAAGGTTGGGAAATATACGAACTGAAGAAGGTTGAAACAAGACAAATGTATGCACCTTGTCACGTTGTTGGACCATTGGATTAGGACACAGAAGGCTGAAAACAAAACGAATTTGTCTTTTTTTTTTCTTTTTAATTTAAATACTTTCACTAAACCTTTTCCCTTGACTAGCCGTCTAGAAGAATTGGAGGATGCCAACTTATCTTTTATTGAGTGTCCTCTTGTTCAAAATTGTCTTTTCCAAGAGTTTGACACTAATTAATAGAGGGTAGATGCTGTTAGGTAACTCAGTGTTGAGTGATCCACTGCATTTCCATTTATTTAGACATTTATCTATGACATTCTGCATAGTACAATCACAATTACTCTTTCTAACTGGAGTTTTTCTTATTTTTTTATTTTTACTATGGTTAGGTTTTTCGTGGTGATATGGCTCTGGTAACTGTTCCCCTCGGTGTCCTGAAGAAGGGTTCAATTAAATTCAAACCTGAGCTCCCACCACAAAAGCAAGATGCAATCAAGCGATTGGGTTTTGGATTGCTTAATAAGGTCGTGATGCTATTTTCTCACGATTTTTGGGGTGGGGAAATTGATACCTTTGGCCATTTAACGGAGGATTCGAGCCAAAGAGGGGAATTCTTTCTGTTCTATAGTTACTCATCAGTCTCTGGAGGGCCACTTTTAGTTGCTCTTGTTGCTGGGGAATCTGCCATTAACTTTGAAAAGACCTCGCCAGTGGATAATGTTGAAAGGGTGTTGACTGTACTGCAAGGGATATTTTCCCCTAAGGGAATTGATGTTCCCAACCCTCTTCAAGTGATCTGTACTCAATGGGGAAGTGATAAGTTTACGTATGGGTCATACTCATATGTAGCTATTGGATCTTCAGGGGATGATTATGATGTTCTTGCTGAAAGTGTTGGTGATGGAAGGGTTTTCTTTGCTGGAGAGGCAACTAACAGAAGGTACCCAGCAACAATGCACGGGGCTTTACTGAGTGGATTCAGGGAGGCTGCAAACATATCAAGAGCAGCTCGTAGAAGGTCTATGGCGCCGAAAACAGAGAAAACCAATATCCAGGTGGAAACCTGGGATTTGGATGATTTATTTCAGAGTCCTGACATGCTCTTTGGCAACTTCTCTGTGCTTCATGATCCAGTTTCATTTGGTCCGGAATCAACTTCGTTGGTTCGTGTGAGGGTTAACGAGAAAAAATTAGAGTCAGGTTCTATTTTTCTTTATGGATTGATCTCAAGGATTCATGTGAAGGAGCTTCACGAGATATCTGGAGATGAAAATAGATTGAGTATGTTGTATCATAGCTATGGTACAAAATTAGTTGCAAGGAACGAGTTGGAAAGCCAGGGAGAGACTCTTATAGCCCGTATAAAGGCTGCAAGGGAAGTTGATAACACAAGAGGGATTGTGAATGGAAACCATTTATAACATAGTTGTATATCTGATTTAATTTATCCTGGACTGCCTACAAGCCTAGGCAATCATGAACATTTTTTATTGTGGATTTGGCTTATATTTTTCGCCTTAGATCTACAAGAAGATATCGTAATTCCACAGCCTGTCTCACAAGGTTAGGCTATCAATTGACAGCAAGGTGGTAGAATCGACATTTCTTTCAATTGGTAGGTAAGTCAACTGACCTCAGAACTTGATGGCTTATAATAATCTTCTCTATTCTGTGGTTTGTAGGCATGCATTATGATTAGAAGGCGTCCTTGTGTAACTTGCATCCTTGTACAGCATCTGTTTGGGATAGTCAACTGTCTGTTTTGAATAACATATTTAGAAATGTAAATTGACATGCCATGATAAGTTCTTTAAATGATTGTGCCCTTGATTTTGAGTTCATTTTTTCTATCGCATCAAAATGCAGATGTCTGCAATTTGTATTTTACCAAATA